GTTAATGCACGTCGTTGAGATGCAGACACGTTTACGAAAATTTATACGCAAAGGAGTCGCGTGAAATTTTTATTGATTTCCCGAGAAATGTTCATTGTTTATTATGTTAAAAAAGGCCGACGTCAATAGAAACAAATTTCTTTCTATCACCAATTAAAAGAAATGTTAGACGTTACTTCGACGATTCATGCATCACAAGCTTTTCTTCATAAACATTTTACAGTTTTCTATACTCGAGAATAAACTTTTTGATAAAACGGTATGCAAAAGCTGGATAATTGGTGAGATTACGATAAGTCACTGCTGTTGTTTACTTTGCAATCACCGACGAAAACGTAGATAGAAGTTTTGTATTTGTTAGCGGGCAAAGCGAGTTTGCAAATCGTCCCTTTTAACTCGTAGAGCAGATTTGTTCGTCTTCTTCATTCGAAAACCTGTCTCTTTTTTCGCGAGGCCATTGCGCACGATTCGCGAGATAGCGAGATCATTTGTTCTGCCTGGTATAGGCTATAGGGTGGGCCAAAAGTTTCTTCCCATCTATTTTTTTCAAATAAAACATCAAAATATAAAAGAAAGCTAATTCTATTAATTTTAAATTAAATTTAAGAGAAATTTAAGCAAACATGATCTCTTCACTATAATTTTAAAAATGATTTCTTTCAAATGTTGAAAGATGACCGCCAGAGCGTTCGCAAATTTATGCTCTCTTTTAGTAGAAAGTGATTTTTGGTCCATCCTATATAAAGCTCTTTTTTTTGTCTCTTTCTGCCACTAATAAAAATAGCACGTTGGTTTTTCCTTCTTGGTGTTCTTTCATCTCGGAATTTAACTTTTGGAAATTTCAAACAACTACCACAACGAGCTGCCGTCAATCGTAAATCGTCTGGGAAATCATCCGCAAACTATTATTATTACGCTTTTGAAATCGCGGCCACGTGAGATCGAGCTGTCGCGTCCCAGTTAATCAAGAGATTGTTTGTTCGCGCGGTTATTGGAAAAAAATGGGTGAATTTTTGTGAATTATTGTGGGAGATGTGACTGATTACTAATTTCGCGTTTAAATTTCAAATCGATTCGTTCAACATGGGAAAATATATATCAGATATATAATTATAAATTGCTTCGCTTCTATGTTTTTCTCTATTTTTGATTGAATAGAAGTCTCGTTCACTAGTTCATATTAGAAATTCTCCAATAATCGACGAATAAGAAATTTCCAATAAATGACGAGAAAGAGATTAGTTTTCAATACCTTGCTTCGTAGTTTGAAGTCAAAGTCTTTATTAAACGATGCATTTACCAGTGATTTATCGAAAAGATATTAAAAAGATATTATTTTTGGGAAAACTTTGAAAAATTTAAGTAACCAGCGCTACAACTTTTCACTAAATTATTTGACTTTCTATTTTTCTACAATTCATGTATGTCCGTGGTTAAGCATTTCTTTCTCGCAGCAAATTAATTTACAGGATTAATGATTTCTTACACATACTTCAAATATTCATATGTACTAAACGAACACAAAGTAAATTTAACGTGTTTGCAATTAATTTGCAGATAATCTTCCTTTAAAATACAATCGTGATTGAATTAAAGACCGAGTGCTTCGTTAATATACAGACATATGTAAATATTGATAGATCTCAATGATTTAATTCAAGTGGAAGTTAAATGATATCGTGTTATACTAAATATGTCTGATATCGTGCCGGCATAAAATATTTTATGAAATTTACGTTTCATGCGTACTTCACCTGACACAAAATTGGACATTTTGAATTTCGATTACACATCAACAAAATATTTATTCTCTCCTTCGATGTTAATACATTTTCAAATTAAATGTTTGTACGCACGATTGCAATTACTTTATCGAGAAATATACTTAATAGCTGTCATTGTAGTGATCGATTTAGAAGCAGGTATTAAACAAAGAAGGCCTCGATTATATGTATTTGCGAATTGTTTAATTTTGATACATCTTAAATTGTAACGTTTGTCTGGTGATCAATAGTTATCACTGATATAATCGTGACAATGATCCGGATTAGACATTATTCCTCGAAATTTTTTATTGTGATGTATTTTTGAGGTTGTTATCTCTTTCATACGAAGAACATGAGATGAGATATAGGAAAATCAGCAGAATATAAAATACAATGCTTGAATTTAATTTTACCAATTTGATTGAAGATTATTCGTTTTCAATTCAATTTCGTCGCCCTGTCGAATTTCCTAAATCGCTTCTTCGATAAAGCTCGTATTAGATTTTCATTACACGAAGTAAAATTAACTGTCAGTGCCCATTAAATTAAATTAGAGATGGCAATTATATGAGATTGGCCATTACGATTTTCAACTGTATGGAACATTTGTGAAAACTCTTGGTCAAGTAATCTTCTTGTAATCTTTGTAACAATAGCATTCCAGTTTCATTCGACTCGGTAATTAATGTACCTTGTTATTGCTTGAGTAAAAAATTTATCTGTGCTTCTGTTCAACGATAATTTATAGTGGTTTGTTTTGCGAGAACTAGATAATGAAAAAAGGACAAGATATTTTGTAGGGATTGTAATTTTCGCAACGACGGTATATCGTGTTTCCGAGTATGATAAAAACATTAAAAAATAAAGTGCTGCGATTTGTGAGAGAATACGCGTATACAATATAGTGTAAACTCGCATATTTCGTATTTTAAAGAAATCTTTCAATCACTATTGAATTAAAAGCAAAGAATCCTATATGTTGCAGCAAAGGAATTTCACTACAATATCCTGAAAATTTTCATTGCTTTTATATATGTACAAGTTTGATTGGACGTGTTATATTGTTCTGTTGAAAATAACAAGCTGATTCTGTTTCATTTGTTCCAAGTCAAGAAACTAAAATATTTTACCTTACTTCAAGTATGATCTAACCAGCCGCGATAAATTAATGACTCACGACAAAATGTTGAAAACATATGACAAATTCGCAATATCACGATTTTTCTCTCAATCCTCACTAAATGCAATTGCAACGCTTGCAAACTGATGGGATATATTTCTTTTATAAAAGGCTTACACTCGAGGCAACGATCGATTATCAATTTTTGATCAATTTCACAGTAACATTTCACTCCAATGAGATTGCACTTCTCGCCTTTTGAATAACATTTTTCAAGTTAATTTTTTTTTTACAAGCTTTTTTACATTTTTCACGTTTTTTACATTTTTTTTTTTTTTTTACAAGCTCTTTCCAATTTTTATAATCTCTGTAATTTCCGATTCCGTTGCGTTACATCACCTTCAAAATACCAATTGATATTCAAGCGTGCCACTTTAAAAGCGGCAGATTAACGAAACGGTTTAATAAACAGCAGGCGTAAACCGAAACAAAAATGCAAAGACTACGATCAGATTCGTACGTGGTGCGGGGACTAGGCTGCTTTATCAGCGATAAATCGATCGGTATCGCTGCGAACAGAACTGTCCAAATATTTCCGTCAGGCTTTTATCATACAATGCTCAGTCCGATGCTTGTCGACGATTGTTCCCATATCGCTGAATAACTTCCGTGCCGCTTGACATATCGATATTTAAACAGAAATCCGCAAAATAGGCGAGCGACCGGACGTCGAATACTCTTAAACACTGCCGTTTGTACGTGTAGCTTCGCGCGGTTCGTTTTAGGGATGGGATCGAATCGTGTACGTATAATACATACTTACGAACTCGAGTTCAGGCCAACTTCGTTTCGAATGCTGCTCGAAAGTACCAGTGTTTCAATCATTATATTTTCATTAATTTATACAAGCAATAAATGAATGTGTGTACAATGTTTTGTACAAACAATGAATGAATGTAAAGAAATGAATGAATTCATTTTGTACAGGCCATAAACTTCATATTAAATTTACAATGTAAATATAAATATTATATTATTATTATGATATTTGTCTTTACATATATAAATTAATATATTCATACAAACAAGCTTCGGACCCTAGAATGAGTATTTACAAGTTTCTGAAACCTATTCTACAAGTTTCGTCTCGTGAGTTTTGAATGTTAGTCAAAAATAACAGTGTTTAAAGTGATTGATTAATTTATACATGTACATGAATATATTCATTTATATATAAGCAATAAATATAAAAAAATGAATATAAAAAAAATGAATGAATTTATTTTATATTATACAAACAATAAATGAATATATATATACGAATTTATTCATATTATAATCATATCAATGAAAATCATATACATATATTCATCTCATACAGATAAATTTCGAATCCTAGAACGAGTACCTACAGGTTTCAGAAAAGCATCTACAAGTTCTGTTTCGAATGCTACTCAAAATTACCATTATTTCGTTGATTATATTAATTTTATATTCATTACAAGCAACAAACGAACACACGAATGTAAAGAAATGAATGAATTCATTTTATACAAGCAATAAATGCATACATATGAATGTATTCGTATTACACATTACTCGATTCCTTTCTTGTCGATTCTCACACGTGTGCACACATGACGATCGACCAGAGGCATTTGAAAATTTCACACGTAGAAAAACAGAAACACACTTCGTCGAGCTAAAAGTAGCAACGCTCACGGATTCCAAATGAATCAAAAAATATAGTGTCGATTATTCTTCAATTATTCGTTTCGTAAATTGTCAGATCAAGTTGCTTAGGTTTGCGTGTGCTTGGAAATACTTATAGAATCGGTTTCAACTCGGCGATAAACGAAATGTTTCGAGCCTAGTCGACCTTCGACCTCCAGTTTCCATCGTACGCCGAATCTCATGCGAGATCGAGGTAAAAGGCGAGGGTATTTCACCGGTCGCGCGACCGACACGACGTTTGGCTGCTCGCCGATGTCGTCTCGTGAGACCCGAGACGTTTTATTTGCGGCCACGAAGTTATGAGATAGAACCGGAACCCGCCTCTCGATAATAGCTTTGGCCGATTATCTCGATATCTGACGTTATAGTATATAGTTCACTAGTCGGCGCGAGTCTGTGTCAGACGATCGCAATCGCGGTGTCGAAGACGACCCGGCAGCCGTGACATCGTCTCCGAGTAATTAGAGACCAGACTTTCGTACGACCGTTGCGATGCAGGCTAAGGAGAGGACACCAAAGGTGAGCGTACGCGAGAAAAAGCTCGCGAAAGAAACGAATCTCGAAGCGACGGGAAAAGTGAAAAACTCGTTCCTCGCCAGACAATGGGGCTGCGTCAGACGAAAATGTCCGCGATATAGAGATTTCGCTCGAGTGAAATTCTATTTCTCCCGCTGAGATTAAGGTGCAATCGAACGAACGTGCATGCACGTAAGCGTGTTTCGTCATTCGGGAAGATCGTTCGGATTGTGAAAGTGATAACTCGATGATAAACGAGTGGGAAGTTATTAACGTACTTGCGTTACCGGTCGAAAGTTTAGCTACACGTTTTGTATATATATATATACATATACGTGCAGTGAGTTACAGAGGCATTTGTCACTGTTGCAACAACTCTAGAACATAAAAATTCCAAAATATGTATCGATAAAGGTGTTGATCGATCGAGCTTAATCATCTCGATATAAATGATCGTTGAAAATAATTTTGGAGTAGTTTCTTGTAAATGTAAACATCACAATTGTAATTGTATTGTTGTAAAATATCAATTGACCAAAGTCGATTCAAATTGGAATACCCAACATCAGTATCTCGTGATATTTTTCTATTTGCACATTGCACGTAAGAAATGAATACATTTGTCGTTGCATGACGCAGTCGAAAGATAAACACGTACCAACATACACGAAAATACAAAGCGATACACAAACTTCCGACCGGTACTGTACGCGTTATAGTTATAGCTGTCCAAAGAACAGTAGAATCGTCGTCGATTTTGTGGAATTCGCGTAGATCGTACACGAAGAAGCTACGAGGTCTTTCGTGCCACTTTTTAAGTACACGTAGAGTTTGAAAAAAATATTGTTTCGACGCGACGATCTGTCCGCGCGACCCGAAGCCTCCCGCTCCCGTTCGGTGGAGAGGGAATAATCGAGTTCGCGTGCGTCTCGATGCGCCGACAAAACAATGGGATCGACCGCGCGCGGAAAAGAACAGCCTTTCGTCGGATCTTATCTGTCGGTGGCTTACGGCGCGAGTAGATTAAACTACCGATGCTCGTGCCGTTAGACTTTACAGATAAATTCACTCGATTCGAGCGTTCTCCCTAATCTCGTTACGTAAATACCTTGGGCGGTCCTCCAGTGGCAGGTTTTCCTGCCTTTCCACTTTCCTGCATTACCCTTTGCCCGAGTCTGTGCGTGCGTGTGTGTACGTGTGTGTGCGTGCGTGTGTGTGTGTATCGTCTCTCGCATTCTCCTATCTTTCGTCTGGCGTTCCACATTTTACAGGCCGGTCCTTACCCCGCTCGACTAACCCCAGGTTCTTGATTCCGCGGTTCGATATCGAAGCTTTTCTCCGGTTGTTGTTTGGCTGCTCTCAGTTTTTTTGTCTCTCCCCTCTTTCCACTCGTCCTTCCTGCCGGCCACAACCGAGGCTCGGGTTGTCCTCTTCTGTCCTCCGGCGAGGACATGATTTATATGATGCAAATATAACGTAACCCGTGTTATTGGCAGACGAAAAGGGTTTCCCTGGGAGTCGGTGGTGCCCTGGTGGAGCTAGCTCAGGATCCCGAACGTGGTAGCTGGGCCAATCCCATCGAGTTTGTTCTATCCTGCATCGGGTATGCCGTTGGCATTGGCAATGTTTGGCGTTTCCCTTACCTTGTATATCGTAATGGCGGTGGTACGTATACGTGTGTTGTACGTTGTGAAGGGCGGCTGTGCGTGGATCGTGCGGCGTACGTACCTACGTGGATACGTGCGCACGACGTTTTTCCATAGACGAGAAAAACGTCTAGCCAGTGCTCGCTAAACAGACGGTCACTGGCTAGCAAACGAACTACCGGATTACGCGGAATGATTTATCCTCGTGCGCGCGGTCGTTTTTGTAAAAGGAAGGAAGAGGCGCAGAGAGAAAGCGACGGAGAGAGAGAGAGAGAGAGAGAGAGAAAGAGGGTAAAGGAAAAACCTAAAGGTAAAACGGGGAAGAGGAGGAACAGAGAAAGAGAGAAATGCGGTAGGCGGATGAGCAGATGCGCGACATGGCGCGTACGTGCGTGGTCGACGTGACGAAGCGACTAATTCGAATAATTAAGCGTAGTTTGGCAGCTCGTGACCGAGCGTTCGGGAAATTTAATAAATCTTTCCTGGCTGCGTGTGCGGTTGTGCCTGTTGATACAGCCGCCCCCTCTTTCACCGGGGTTTATTTGCGAAATACCGAGAGAGAAAGAGAACGAGAGAGGGAGAGAGAGAGGGACAGAAAGGTAGAGCCCGCCTGCGTATCCCGAACACTTGGCTTTTAATTATTCTATTTTACTTCCACTCTCATCGTTTTGTTCTTTTCTGTTTACGTGGCTTCAGCTCTTCATTGTTCCCTGGCCGGCGCGCGGTGCGGCCGCCTCTAATGAAAGACGACCAAAGAGAGAATAGTGGCTGGCCGTTTTTAACCTTTCCCAACTGTAACGCGATGTTTCGTCGCGTTAATCAGACTCGCAAGTCCGATAACTTTTAATTAGTGTCCGTTCGACGTGCATGACAAATCGACTCGACCTATTCACCTCTTCTGGACTTTTCTGGCTATGTCCCGCCACGAACCGAGCACAAACACGAATCGAGGTCAAGAAATAGCTTTCCCAAGTCGAGCAGATAATTTTCGTTAATGCTCGTTCCGTCCCTCTTGATACTGTGGTATTCTCTTTGACCTCCTTTTGGAACAAGATGACTGGTCTTTTGAGATTTTTCGGTTTTTGTTCGATGTTGTTCCTCGGTATTTATTGACTGTCTATTTATAATACACGCGTTTGTTAGAACCTATGTATTATAATACATGTTATATATATATATTATACATTATAGTACATAGATTATTTATACATTATAATGCGTGTTAATATTATACATTATAATACATCATAATACATAGGTTAAGACCGTCATTTCTCTCTCGCTTTATTTTTCTCAAGTGTCGTAATACTTGCGAGTGGACCGTGAATTTTTATGCGAGTTTATATTTCCATAACTAGGAGTAAAGGAATTGAAATTAAATGGAATGAATATAAATGTATACTTATCGACCCCGATTCTCGTACTCTGTCTCAATTTGACTCATTTTTCTTATAAAATCATTTCGCAGTACGGAGGACACTGCAAATGGGAAGGTGAAACTCTATTTTTTCCAAAATTTTTCTAATACCTTTCCAGTGTATATATTTGACATTTTTAACAACAAAATATGACGTCAGAGTTGCAAATAATATGCGTTACTCAAATTTCTCGACAGACCACACATATTTATAATTCTGAACATAATGATAAAAGAAAGGAAAATCAACAAAACAAACAAACATAACGTTAGACGAAATCAAGACACGAAATTTTCTGCGTTTCGTGCATAATTCAACAGAAATTTGATCTGTTTATCGTTAATAAAAGAATCTAACTATCTCTTCGCTATAATAATCTCGTTACTATTGTGTCAATTTCGCACCAAAAGACGAACCACGCTGAAAAAATAAGGGATAGACGAGGGTTGATCATTTTATTAATACGTTATAGCGTACGATCTAGTCGTTGCTTTGTTTTCTAGGTGCCTTTTTAATTCCATTTGTTCTAATGCTGTTAACCATGGGATTGCCGATATTTTTCTTGGAGCTGGCTATCGGACAGTATTCCGGACTCGGTCCTAACGAAGCGTTCACACGTATGGCGCCGGCACTCGAGGGCCTCGGTTACTGCACCCTCGTCGTCATTTTACTCGTTATGGTCTATTACATGGTAATCGTGGCCTGGACACTTTTCTATACGTTCGTCTCGTTCGTGCCGAAGCTCGGTTGGGCCTACTGTGACAACGATTTCAACACGAACGGTGAGTACGCTGATAAAATAACAAATGACCATCGGCTCTCTCATCTGCTCTCTTTCCCCTCTCCACTTGTAAATTTTAGAAAACGTACCGATCTGTACGAACGACGCGGGTTCAACTTGTTATTTAGTGTAACGTAACGTAACAGTGCCACACGCGTATTTTATCGTTGCCCGTAAAGCCCGAGGAGGTCGTAGAACCGTTTTAAACGATCGAATGACGAACGGCTCGTTTCTTCGAAATTCAATTTCTCCACTCTCGCAGAACGGAAGCGCATAACACGGGGGAAAATATTCTTCTTTTCCCTTGACGTCGTTCCACGCTGCTTTATGTTTCTTCTATTCATTGTATTCTTGGCAATTTACGAATACATATACGTATATTACATTATACGTATGTACATAAGTAGCAAACGCTTTCGCATCAGCGTCGTGTAATTACTAGGCTGCGGATCTTTATAAAGATTATTGAAAATATGAAAAGTACGTATGAATTTTTATTTGTACAAGATTCAATGTCTATACATATAAGATTCAACGTCTACACAAAGTATAGAAAAGTAAATTGTCCTAAATGTAATAAATGTTACAGAAGATATTATACTTCGGATGTTTTATATATGCATATCTGTGCAATTTCGCGTTTTCCAACGAAAAATCCGCAGTCTAATAATTACAATTTTCTCGATAGAGTGGTTTGCTTACAAATACAAAATAATATGGACATTCTTGAAATTTCAATTAAAACGAAACGCCACGATTTTTCTCAGTTTTACTAATTATAAAAGAGAATTTCTGGGACTTCTCGGTTTGGGCAGGTTAACGAAGTCAACTTTCAACTCTGTTGGAATGTTATTCAATGATTTGACTAATCGAAAGTATCAACAGGAAATTTCGCGATTGATTCAAATTGCAAAAACAGAGACGAAGCGAAATTAAATATTTTTTTGCTGCTTTGCAATGCCATGAAATGTGTATAAGATACTTTATGAATCACTGTTAGTGAAGAAAAAAAAATTTCATTAGATTGGGAGGAAACATGCGAAAACATGATAAATGTGAATTTAGACAATCAATAAAAAAAATCCAATTCTTATAATTATATCTAATTATAAATAACTTGTTGCAAGTGTATCGTACAAATACGCGCGAATCATTTTTAGGGACAACAGTCAAAAAAAGAAAAAAAAAGTGCAACGATCATTCTTTAAAAACAATAATTAAGAAAATATACGTAGACAAGAATATAAGAGACACATCCGTACATATTATTAATAATATAAGAGACACTTATATATACTCATGGTAAAATTATATACGTGTAATAGTAAAATTTATTGATTAATAAAGTGTTCTATTTATACGTAGTTTAATAAATTTTACTATTATATAAAATCATGCCTGTTAATTTCAAAACGTCCAAAATTTTCTAATTCGAAGACGTAAGGTTATAAAGAATCAGTTTGTAGTTGTAACAAGGATAGAAGGTTCAAAAAGGATAAGTGACATGGATGAAGCATGCATAATATACTGTACGATCACTGGAAGCCATTACGATAAAGATGATTGTGGGTTTCGTAACCTGCTATCCAGTGATATATCACGAACCGGCGATAAGTACGATATATCTGTGTTGGATAGCCGTTAGTTAAATTACCAACTGATATTGGAATAGTTTTATGAAAGAATTACAGGAATGAGACTTAACAGACACGAATATATATGTATATATACAGCGTCTGGTCAGATAAGTCGAGTTAAAATTTCAAATTAACGAGAACAAGTTTTTCAACGTTTAACTATCCATATGGCGAGTAAATTCGATTAAATTACGGCGATTAAACGGCACGGTAGCTGTAATTTTTAGCTTCTTATAACTCATACATTATACATACAGATACCTCTAAAGCCTACCAGAAATTGATAGCGGGGGCGAGCCACTACATTTTCTCTGTGAGGCGTGCATTTGCTCGCTGCGAGTCAACCCTTCCCACACGAAGTGCATTAACCTAGATGCAAGCGTTTTGTCTCGTACGTAATTGATACGAACAATTAGACACGGTTTTTATCGTAAAATAATAAGTACTCGTACAAAGCAGTACCTCGAAAGCCTAAAAAGGAAACGTAAAGAAAAGAAAAGGGAAGAGAAAATAACTTGAACAGTTCTAAAATAGTTCTATCATATATGTAATTTTATTGCAAGTGAACGATATTTACGTAGTTTATTATCGTCATTGAACGTTCCTACCAGAGCTCGTACGAATCAATTCTGAAGGCACGGTCCAATTAGACTTACGAAACCGCGTTTCACAAGTAGGCGACGAAGCTCTCGCAAAAGCTTCCTCCCCTTCAACGAGTTAAGAACGCTCGTTCGAACGATTTTTCTAAGCTTTGACAAACAAACCTCTTCACCGGCTTATTCATACCACCTTACGCGTGTGCCCTTAAAACAAGAGCGCGCGTGCCCTCGTAACGGAACGCTTACGGGAAACAGGAAATCCCTCGTCGAACGAAGTGTCCCTCTAATAAATATAGGGTTGAACAATAAAGCATTAGCGTAGTGGCGGTCTCTCGACGATCGTAACAAAGTACTAGTATAGATATAGGTATTGTATACACACACACATACATACATATATATATATATATACTAGTACTTTATATATATTACGTTCATACATGTATATGCATATCTATCGCCTGTAATATCGAACCATACATGTTGTCAACTGTACGACGCGTCGTATTCTGTAAACGACAGGCTATTTCGTTTCAATCAGCGATAGCCTTTGAAAGCCTTTGATGTTGTTTCCTAATTATCGCGTAACTAGGGCAACGCGATATTGGATGTGCGCCGTGAGGCCGTAATACCGACTTGTACAGATTGTTACAGTGGCCTGCAAGAGATTCAGTGTCAAACGGATGATCCGGAAACGATATTTTACAACAAGACTTGCATGAAAGCGCAGCGGATCTGCAGGAGCTTCGGTTTCGAGGATGGCAACGTCACGCATTGTTTCGACGATAACCTAGCGGAACCGCTTCGACAACTTTACACTCGCGTCCTTTCCTCGGAGGAGTATTTCAAGTATGCCGGTGTATATCATGAGATATATTCTTTCTTTTTTTCTGTCAATGGGGGTCTCAAGGGAGTCCCAAGTGTGCCGTATCGATCATCTCAGTTTTATTTTTCACCGTAGCTTTGTAGCAGTCTCGATGAAAATTTAAATTTGAAAAGATTATTCTCGTAAGATTCTTAATAGAATGGAGGAGGAAAATTGTGCTTCTTAGGGTTTCATTTCGCCTCGGCGAAAGTAGCGAGGAGTAGCTTGTTTGAAATTTTAGCTAGCACGGCAACAAGAAATGCACATTGTAATAGAAATGACTTTAAATTATATACTTTGCATCTTTTGTGAAATGCGCTCGAGTAGCCGTCAGTTTAAAAATCGATGTTATGAACGTGTATTAGGTCAGACGGGGAAAGTGGGTCGGCTTTTATATCGAGAATTAGGTCAGCGTTTCGACTGCACCGGAGAGTGCTATGAAAAAAAAAGCATAATCATCTTTTCTTTCCATAACTCCTTGCCTTTTTATCGGCAAAAATATTATGCTGTCTACGTAAAGTCTCCTTAGTTCTCTATTAAAATACTCCCCGTCGGTATCTCTTAGTGTACTGGTTTTAGAAAATTTCTTATCTCCATTAGAAAGTGCCGCGACGTTGAAAAAGATGATTAGGAACTATCGATTTTCAAATTTTAGACATTTTCTGAGCCAAAGTCCTTTTTTACATCGTCCAGAAATTCACCGTTTCATATTTGAAAAAAAAATAGTTACACGAATTGCGATATTTTAATCACAAATATAACTTCGATTTACAAATGAATATATATTTAATGGCATAATTCTATCCGTAAAAGTGTAATTTCATCTAAAATGGACAGAATATACCAGAGTGAATAGACCAAATTGTTTAGACAAAAATTCTCTTTCATTTCACTTTAGAAGATATTACAAATTACTAGTTACGAATCGATCGCGGAACTTATATTTACGAAAATAATTTCGATCGAACGGGGCGGACCAGTTTACCGCTCATAAATAGGGAAATCACGTGGAAAGCTAAAATGTGTAATCGTAATCGAATCTAGCGACTATGTATTGGGTCTACGAGGTGCCACGTGGGAACATTTCGGAGGCATAAGATGGGAATTGTTAGGATGTCTCACTCTCGCTTGGGTAATCTGCTTCCTCTGCCTCATGCGTGGTGTCCAGTCCATTGGGAAAGTCGTCTACTTCACCGCCCTTTTCCCTTATGTCATGCTCACAGCGCTACTGATACGAGGTAAGAATGATAAGAGAAACGCTTTTCGTGTAATAGAAACTTCGCCGATGCGATTAAAGGGTCATGTATGTTTGCTTACCGATAGCGAGACAACTTGAGGAACTTGTCTTCTAAAAATTATTTTATCTCACATAGTATTTTGTATCTTGAATGTCAAGTGGAATATTTTTTATAACTGATTAACGATTGATTGATCTCTGTTGATAAATGAAACATCTTTGTCGTTGAAAATCGACGTGCCTCGACTTTCATAAGTTATTAAGCAATCAAATGTGAAAAAATAATATAAAGAAAAAAATGTTCCTTCCTTTGAATCATTTTAAGAAGCCAATATCTTGATTTTAAACAGGCACAAACGCTCGAATTTTAATTGCAACGCGATATAAAATTTTAATTACATTGTAAAATAAATGAATATTTCGCGATATATTATTAATACAAAATTGCTGCGAAACAATTATTTTTCAATCATCAGGCACGTTTATTAAGAGCGCAATAAATAACTATCAACGAATCGGGAGAGAATATTACAGTCGATGGAACTGTCAACGAATTAAAAAATACATTATTATATTGTTAACGGCCGGAGATGATAAAATGGTTTCTTGATTCGCGCCAGGTATATGAAATAATTAAAATTCTTCAACATGATAATTGAAAATTTATGAATATTAAAATGTGATGATATTAAACGAGATGTATCTTTATGCTATGTTACATTTGCAATATAGATTAAAAGTCAAATTCACAGATTCGAACGTTCCATCCCGGGATTACATAAAAGAAAGCTTAGGCTCGCGACGAAAGACATCGAATTCTGATTCAGTTCAATGCATTTGAAATCATTTTTAACAAAATTTTGACTGATTTTCTTGTATTCGATTTTATTCAATTCATCGCGATTCGTTATCTATGTTGAACTCCATCCAATTCAATTTTTTCGCTCGACTGTGAAATTCACTATCTTGCTGCGCAAACGTGTTACGCACGAAAGGAAATTACCATATGTTCGCAGTAGATCATTTTCGCGTATCTATGGTAGCTTATATTGGACATTATGTCTAGAAAGAGCGAACTCAAACGTATAATTTTATCGCGAGCACATGTGACTTAACCGGTATGATAATCTGAATCGATATTACGAATATGAAATGACGTGGAAAATTCACGTTATTCAACTTGTATCGAAGATTTACGATCTACTGCTGATTTGATCTTTATATCAAATACAACGATACTTTATATTGATAATACAAAGGTAATTTCGAAACGTTGTTTTCTACATTTTTGGCAACTTTATGGTACGTGAATTTCGGTTTTAAATTTTAATTAATCTTTCGAACGATAAATTTTAAATAAATATTAGTAAATTTTAATAATTTTTTTACGATTTATCGAAAAATTGTTTCTTCAAACTCTGAATTATCATGTCAATTTGGTTAGCAAGAAATGAATTGTTTACGACGCGATATAACGGCGCGTGTCTGACTATAGACAGTCGTGTATCACTTACTGTTCGGTCTTTACGTCTCTATGCAGCAAAATATGTATATCTTTGTTGTGTTGAAGTTGCTATGAATAAAAATTACTTACGATAGATTAATACAAGCCTGTCAATAATTCCAAGTAATACAGCCTTTCATATATAAATTGTTAGGAAGATAAAACGTTCGATTAATAAAACAATCACATTTTTGATATTACATCCAAATTATATATTTAACAGTTAGAATGTCTATTCTCATCATTCTCGTTTGCAATTTCAGTTCATGTAAAAATTATGTTCGAGATATTTTATTTAAAATAATCTCACGTCGTTTATATTGTTGAGAATTTAATATTGAAAATCAATCTTTCGCAGTGTCTCAGTTGTTCGAAAAAATTCGTAGCTTTTCATCGGTTTATTGTGCACGTGCAGGTGTTACATTGGACGGTGCTAGCGAAGGTTCTCTTTGGTTTATTACGCCGAAATGGTCAACACTGGAATCAACCGGCGTATGGGCAGATGCTGCATCCCAAGTTTTTTATTCCCTTGGTATCGGTTGCGGGTCTTTGATCACACTTTCCAGCTACAGTAATTTTAATAACAATTGCCACAGGTAACGAAAAAATTTAATATAATTGCATTCAGCGAACATCAATAGTATTTTATTTTATTTTTCTGCACAATTTCGCACAATTTGTCTTTTCAATACTCTTTAACCCCTTAAGCCTTTTGTTTTATTTTGAGAATGTGCTTAATTATTTCTACTCGATGAAAACACAGTAAATGCACTTGTTGTAAGATTAACTTAAATTATAACAAAATGATAATTTCTTTTTTAATTTTTCACAGAACTTGACATTTTATCGTTTGAAAATTATTCCATTAACCATCAAAAATTCAAAATGTGGAGAAAGGAACTTGAATTTTCATCGATTCTTAAAGAGAAGTAAAAAATCAAATATCTGCAAAATTAAAATGATTGGGGATAAATTTAATTCGTTTCTGCATTGTATCGATTGTGTCAGATGATTCTGAACAATTATCCTGTTATTTTTAAATGCATATTTTCCTTGTTTTGTTGCCTGGAAATATTCTAAAATGTGCTAAAATTACAAATATATACATATAATTTTTTTACCTAAATTTTACAACAAAAACAGCAAAGGCAAATTTTTTTTCTACAAGACAATTATACTCTAAACAAACGCTTAAGGGGTTAAAACGACGCCACAAAATTCCGCATACTCTGAAACTGACTGAAAGCACCACGACCACGTACTGGGTGGAATAAATTCATGGATGAGCAAAAGTAGTAATCTATTCGTAATCTATTCGTCTTCCAAGCAAAATCACCATTACGCCGTCAGCAATCCAATAAAATTACTGAACCATCCAATTAAAATCTTCCGGCCAATTAATGCGATTCATCCACTCAAAAGTCAGCAGTAGCGATAATGCATTTTACAATCTTCGGATACACGCATCGTCGACTCTGTCGCTCGTGTCCCGAATGAAGGGCCGTTCGGACGACGAAATTCTGCGGACTGAGCCGCGGCGAGCTTCTAATAACGTAATTCGTCGTAAAATGATTAATCCAGAACCCGCGAACTCGCGCCGTGTATTTTCAACGACCACTTGGTCGATTTGGATTTGCGTCGGTCCACGCGGTGCTCGGTCTGTTCCGAACGTTTGTTACGAGTTTCATTTCGCGCGATACCGATCGTAAGGTGAATCATCCGCGTGGTACCACCGAAACTCGGCGATACTCCCGTCGAGTCCGGGAGCGTTCACGTGCTCGAAATATTGCGGAAAGTCGTAATTAGCATGATTATCCGACGCTGAAGTTCTCCAGCGACGGCAGATACAATTCGTTGCACGTTGCATCCGCGTGTATAAATTATATCAGTGCGACGCAAGTCGAATGAACAAGTAGCACCGGCACCGGGGTATAAACTTGCCGTCTCCAACGGCTGGCCAACTTTTACCTGTGATTATTAATTGTTCTTTCTCCATTCTGTCGTCTAAGTGCCGCGTCTTATCGCCAGACATTTCACACCATCCGAGAGATGCCTTATGTCGCGTCGCTCGTTGAACGATATGTATCGTGGTCGTTCTATCTATCGAATATAAAACACGAGGCCAGCAAATCCAGCTTCGGTCACGCCGACGCGTTCGATACGAATTTTTATCGTTCCTGAAACGGTGAAATATTTATACGCGATTCAGAGATGTTATTCGGAGTAAACGGACGCGTACGAATGAAAGGCGAATTGATCTCGCGTGGATCCCGCTGTAAGTAATCGCGGAGGAGTACTCGGAGAGTGTCAATTTGTAAGGGAAGAAACTTTTTTAATTTTTATTGTACTTCTTTGCAAATGTTCCGTTGCACTTTTAGTTTTCGATTTTCAGAGGATTTAGGCTTTCAATGGATAGTCCAATCCTTTATGATTTAGACTTTTCGATCATTTCTATAGGTTTTAGTAATAATGAAGGAAATATAATAATTTTACAGTCTTAAATCATCAGAAAATATATTGATTCCGTTTACAAGTAATTATGAAATTTAGTACTGCTGAAACAACTTTTGGTAAAGATTTTACAGTAGCCAACACGGTTCACAGGTGTCGCAAAGTTTGTAAGAAGTAAATTTTTGTTAAAGGGAAGATATTAATTATTGATGGCCGAATTGATTACTGTTAAATTTTCTTTTGGTCCCAGAGGCGTCATTTTCGTAATTTTATATCGTCGCCACGTGGTTGTCTTTCGTGCTGAATAATTTAAAAGACAGTTATAAATAATAGTGGACGCAAATAAATTAAAAATTAATTAACAAAAAACTAATCGAATAGGTTGATTTCTCTTCTTTCAAAAAAGAAAAAGAGAAACATCTCAATCAAGCTTCTAAATTATTTCCCTCGTATAGCGAAATTGCCTTTAGATGCTCAAATTATTTATGTTTGAAAGGAATTTGTGACCAACGTAGAGACCTTTGGAAATGGTGATACTTATAAACTTTGTTCGAAGAAATACAAAACGAACATAGCGAAACTTTCCACTTTGCGTTTATTTCAAACAAGGAAAGGAAGGGAAAAGATAGTCAAATTAGTGGATTATTTTGCGAATTAAAACCCAACTTTAACATATTTTAATGACGTCTAAATCACTAAGCACAACTCAGTAGTAGTCTCAATGACAGTTATTGCTAGTTCATTTCACGGTATGTTTGTTATTCTGCTTCATGTCCTTTAGGGATGCCGTTTTCGTGACGTTGACGAACCTGGCAACGTCGATTTTCGCCGGTTTCGTTATTTTCTCCATTATGGGATTCCTTGCCTATCAAATGGGAATACCGGTCGACGATGTGATCAAAAGCGGGGCCGGGCTGGCTTTCATCGCATACCCGGAAGCCGTGGCGCGGATGCCGCTGCCCAATCTCTGGGCAGTACTGTTTTTTGTCATGCTGTTCATCCTAGGTATCGGTAGCCAAGTAAGTATACATCAAACGGTACAACAGTAGTTTCGCGAAAAGTAACGATCGATTGATGGAATTCAATGGAGGCTGCGCCTCGCGTTTTGAAAGTTCGTTAAAAAAAAAAAAAAGAAACAGAAAAGTAAAGTACCTTTAGAATCAAAGAGAGCAAAGAGGCGCCGTGCAAAGAGAAAGAGGTATTAAAGAAAAGGAGTGAAAGGGAGCAAAAGAGAGAGAGAGAGAGAGAGAGAGAGAGAGAGAGAGAGAAAGGAGTGAGAATATGAAAGATGTAACGTGAAGAAGAAGAAAAAAAAGGGGGGAAGTGGAGAAGAGCGTGAGGATTTTTGAAAATGAAGAGCATCGTATTTCCATGTTGTTTAAAGTTTAAAGCACAGCCTTGTTCTTTGCACGGTGTTGGCCCGCGCGTGAGAAGGAGAGAAGAAGGGAAAAATTTTTCGTCCTACCCGTGAGAGCCAGCTAAGAAGGCGCTATTCAAGTGCCTCAAGAACCGGGACGCCAGCCGCTGTATTCGTCAAAAGAGCTGTGAGCGAAAATGTGCTCGCAAGTAGCCAGACGATCGTGCCCGTGTTACTTTTGCATCGCCTGGCCTCCTCCCCGTTTCTCCGCCTCGGGGCTCGTATATCATGGAAAGAGTTATGGTTTGCCGTCCCGTTGAAATCCACACCTTTCTCCTTTCGTGTCCTCGTCTTTCCTCCGTTAGTTTTTTTCCCACCTTCGAATGAGAGAGAGAGAGAGAGAGAGAGAGAGAGAGAGAGAGAGAGAGAGAGAGAGAGAGAGAGAGCGCGGAGGCACAGGGAGAGGAAAGAGCGAAAGGGGCCTTTGTTTTCTACACGCCTCTGCCGCTCGTGCAGCTTGCACGCTCAAGGGTAATTAAGACAGACGGCGTCGAAAAAAAGGAAAGGAGAGAAAGAAAGAAAGAAAGAAAGAAAGAAAGAAAGCAAGAAAGAGAATAGAGGGTTGGTGGGAGGGAAGGGGGAGGGAAAGAATATAAAAACGAAGAGAAAGGGTAACGAGAATCGCCGGCGGGTGAGCATCGGATCTCGAGAGTAACACAGTCGGTCGTTGCTTTTTACGATACACACAGTTCGCAGGCGTGCAGGCGATAAACACCGCCATATTGGACCTGCGACCAGATTTACGAAAACACGAGGTATACGTGGTATTAGCGATATGCGTCACTTGCTGGCTCCTTGCTATACCGATGGTGTTCGACGGCGGTATTTACCTGTTCACGCTGATGGACTGGAACACCGCTTCTTGGGCGATACTATTGATCGGCATTGCCGAGGTCGGTGTGGTAGGCTGGTGTTACGGCTGCAACAAATTCCTGCGTAACATAGCTGAAATGCAAATGCGGTTCAGCCTTTTGCTCCGCAGATATTGGTGGCTCAGCTGGGTTGTGCTCGCGCCTATCACTTGTCTGGTAAGTGCATTGCAATCGCATCCCTTCCGGTCGTGTCTTGACGCGTTACAGTTGTTTCCTCCCTCCTCCCCCTCCCACTCTCCCTGCCCATCCGAAACGCATCTTCCGAATAACACTACACCCCCACAACTTGCCAACTATGCCCCAAGTTATTCCTCCGATAATTAACTAGATCGATATCGAGCCTGTTTTACAAATGTTCGAACGCCGGTGCACACCGGGGAAGTACTTGCACGCTGGCAGTGTAAATGGAACTCGATAACGCGAAACACCGTGGATACTCCGATTGAAAATCCATCGGTTTGTAATCCGCAGCGTCGAATTGTATCCACTGGGATGGAAAAATATCATTCGAGTTCGCGTCGATTGTATTAAAACGTGAGATGTTAAGTGGGTTGTTATCGTAACGGGAGGTTCGAACAAAAAGTTAACGAACGATAGGCGTTAATTAATTTATTGTAATCCTCGCGTACGTAAATGCGATAACGCGTGATTAACACGAATGAGAATTGATTAATACAAATTGACAACGAGTTATTACCGCGATAGGATTTACAAAAGTATCTCGCGGATGATCGGTTAGCGGGCTAGTTTCGAGACAAACTATCGCGTATATCTGTTACGAAATTCTAGTTCGAAAGCTTCACAAATATTTCGATTAATTTATGCGATAGTTTTGCCGGTTATTAATGTTGTGACCTTTGATTCAATTTCGTAACAAGCACGAGTTACACGTATAGGAAAATTTCGGTTTAAAGGCAAGAACTTTCCGTCAGAAATCACAACTTTGACATACGTTTCGCGTATGTAATGGATACTATCTAAAGTGTATACTCTTAGGTGAGGTCGACGGCCAATTAAACTTCTTCTTGTTTCGATTGTGTTCTTATATGCAATACACATGAAAATTTGATATTTTTAAACTAGAAGGTTTACATTTGAGTGAAGTCAAAAAATCAAATATCCAATTTTGTCTTGAAATTTGCATTAGAAAAGAAAGCTAAATGCATTTTGCACTTGATGATCAGATACCCTTCTTATTAAATTAACACGAAACGTACATTTCAGCTGTTCCATTTAAAACGATCCACGCTTCTACGTTTGTACGTTTGTACATCTCCTTAATACACAAATCGTCGTTCGTGCCCGTCGTTGCACATTCACGTCTGTCCAATCTTCGCTTCCAAATATACTGTGTAATCACACTTAGCTTCCGTAAAACTCGGGTTGGTACCGTGGCAATCATACGAATCATCCGAGCGATTAAACAAATCCGGTTCGCGCGGACACGAGCTAGTTCGTTCCCTCGTTTCGTGCCACCCTCTTTTTCCGGGCGTGCACCTCATAGTTAAGACGTTAATCCTTTCTCCTTCCGGGGGAGGGTGTTTTCACTGACGGTATTATCGCGGTTTTGCTTCTCGGTCCGCAAGCATTTACCGCGACGCTTCTGCTCCATTATTGATTTTCCGTTTGTTCTCTTATTATTTATTACTACTGAGAGCACGCGATGAGTAATTAAACACTAATTATCAGTTATAAGAGATTGAGAGAATGCTCGATCTGTACCGTTGGAAGCATGTTATTTCTTGTATTATGAAAAGAAAATTTGAAAAATAGGAACATATGCATAGGCTGTAATACGAAATCAAAGAAGGAAACGTAAACTATTAATAAAGTATTATTTATAATTCATATATATATATATATATTATATTATATTATATTATGGGTGCCCTGGAAGCTCTGGGTGCCCTGCGAGCCCTCCCAGTGAGAATTTGTTTCTCTCTTCTCTTGTCCGAGCTCCTGTCCGTCTGATTAACTTTAAAAGGATCGTCAATTCATCACAGCGATCTGTCAGGTCTTCCTCCAGCGGACTAGGTAATTAGAACTGAAAGTAAACAAAATGTTGTTTTTAAACATTTTCATTGTACCGCGACGGTGCAAGGTACTTTGAAACGTTTGCTTTAATTATTAATTATAATTCTTTACCTCACTCTCGTTTAAATCAACTTCAGCCAGCGCTCCTTTTGTAAGACTTTTGCTCATTATTCATTATCTTTGTATTTTATTATGAAAGATAGACTGATTAATTAAAAAATTTCATGAATTCATTCCAGCGTGTTTGCCCTTTTAAGGGATTGGCTGTTTCCTGATTTCGTCTGTTTACGGTTTCCTTGGTTTACGGTATTTGTGTTAAACATATAATTAAACAGAGATTTTGTTAGGTTTAGCAATTAACGAGTTTGGCAATTAAATTTACACAATTTCGACAACAATTTATTAATTGTTTCTCGTTGTTTAAATTGGTAACAACGTTTGTATAATTAAAAAAATATGTTAGCCGTTATATTTACTCAGAACGAAAATGTAAAGTATAATTTGATAATGCATTTATCGAATTGTGCGATAATCTGTTTTATTGTGCAAGCAATCATGAAAATCTCGTTAAAATTTTGCTCGAAATAGTATGTGCTTAATTATTGCTCTATAGTAAGTGCGTTGTACGAACATTCACATTATATTTCTTTAATGCTCAGAATACCACAAACAGTTTTTTTACACCTTGGCAACACTGTAAGCCGAGTCTTTGTATTTTCTTCCTGTTTAGGCAAAGTTTATAAAAGAAAGAGGAGAAGATACCATACGTTTCTATATTTCTAAATACTCCTAAGTACTCCTGCTTAAAAGTCTTACGACATTTTTTACTTTCAATAATTTTTACTTCAGTGATACACTTTTTATTTTAATAATATTTCACAGATAACAATCACAGGTTTTTCCAAATTGCATATGTATTTTATAATACAAGTCTTATAGTACATTATATAAGAATTATATATGATTAGTAATGATATAATGTATAATAATTATTAATATAACAATACATTGACACTTTCTAAAATCTCTGTTTAATCTGTTCCACTATTTATAATATTATTAACATCGAAGAATTATTTCATTTCTCCAATTATCAAACAAATATAGCTGTTTCAACTATAAAACAAAACACGTAATCGTATTGCGTTATAAATTACTTGTATAAATTTATTCGGGTTTCTCTTATTCGGCCGTCATTGTAAATGAACAATTATACTGCTTATAGTGCTTGTATCACGTGCACTCTCATGCACACATGAACGCACGGAATGATGGTGCTCGGAGGGTAGGTTGCTTTAACGATCCTAACGGTACTCTTTATGTTTTACTATATTTACTCGTTACGTTTTCCTACATTTTTCTACAGGGTGTTCTCGTGCAACTTTCAGGATTTTCGAGACGATGTTACGCGAAATATCGCGCGATCTCTACGAGCGACTACGAAAATATTTTCACTTTAGCTAGAGTTGTTTGCACACTCTGATTGGCCTATAATAATAGCTTTCAAAAGCAACATCGTGAAACGGAACAATATAAAGTTCAAAACGCTTCGAAATCTAGACAAAGAATGAAGGAATAATTCACTCTGTCAGATTCAAACTGTAGAATTTATATTCGATGTATCCCACTGGTCAGCTGTCGTTAATACTGTACATATACGCGTATTTGCACGCGCAAGAATATATATATATATATATTGGAGAGCAATGTATCGTTTTTTCTCAATGTTTTTTCTTTTTCTTTCTTTTTTCTACCTCTTCCCCGTGGTGAAACGAACTCCTGTCACGTTCCATTTTAGCGATCATGAATCGTAGCGAAATAAATGATCCAACCGATCGAGTAGCGGTTTTCCTCCTCTTTCATCGATTACCGGCTTCGTCCGCAGCTTGATTCCGAGGCAACCAATCAAATCGATAACTTAACTTCTGTCTGGCGCACAGAATCGAATTGATCGCCGACGAAAGAATCGTGCTTCTCGTGGTTTCTCTCGACGTTCTTTCTTTTTTTTTCTTTTTTTTTTCTTCTTCCTCCCTTCCCGGAAAAACAACGGAAACGATGAAACTGAGCTTTGTTTCGCGGCCAATCGATCTTCGTTGAATTATCGCTGTTTCCTCGATAAATCGGCTCCCGTGTTCCGATGATTACGAAGAGGATCAAGTCCAACCGGTATCTGCGAATTCAAATCAAGTTCATTTCCTTCTTGTTCAATGTACGAGCTCGATGCATATAGTGTAGAATGTGGTTAAATGTGTATACGTATATTTCATTGAGTTCATTGTAGTTTCATGTATATTATACATTTCATCAAATTCAATACACAAGTTCAACGTACATTTTATACTCGAGCTTGATATCTTTGTATGTTTCGTTTCGTCTCATTTCGAATATCGAAAGTAAAAATGTCTCATCTTGTATAAGGCTGGTTTCAAATTCTAGAGTGTTCGAAATTTTCACACATAGTGCTCGAATCCTGGAAATTAGAGTTCCTTCCTCTTAGAGGTTAGAGAATCCTGAGGAGAAATTGCCAATTAGACACGCACAATTCACACATACAATGACACTTCGGTCAGAAGTGTTTAGCATATTCAATGAAGAAACATGATCGCTAATTTTCCAGTACTGTCTTCTTTGTCAATTGTCAGGGTTAAGTTGCTGTGCGTGTTTGACGAGATTTTGATAAGACTAAAGTTAAAAGAAATTTTAGTAGCCTAAAAAAATTCTTTAATTTAGAAAAAGTAAAAGATAGAAAAAGAGAAACTTTTGTAAAAGTAAAAGATAGAAAAAGAGAAAACCACAAATAGAAAAACAATAACTTGTAGTATTCCGGAAGTAAAAACTCGTCAAAATTGTAGATTCAAGTATATTTGGAAGTATTCGGATTCAACGAACTGAAGTTTCGATCTTATTGATCATCGATCGCATGATTTTCATAAATGTCGTGTTTCCGACGTAGAATGCAATGGCGGCGAATTGAACGGCCCGCTCCGAAACTTCCTATCCTGTTTCGGAAACATTTTAATACCTATCTATCGGGAACTTTGGACAATGTGTTCCTTTCGGTGTAGTTCGTATATTTAATACGTAAGTTACAGAGTGAACTCGAAGGTATTGATCGTCGGTATTTATGGACTTACTGGTTACCGGGAAAATGGAATATATTGATTTTTGCCACAGATTACGGTATAGCTGATATAGCATAGTAGATATATACAGTGCATTTTTTTATGTAAATAACGTTCTTTTTCTTTTTATATCATAACAACATTTCGAGCGGCTGCAGTTATATCTCGTTCAGTGTTTAATTTGAAAGCTTTAACGAAATAGTTCGTAGAAAATTAGACAGTTAGAAAATATTTGGTACAAGGAGGACTGGTGCTATTAATGTTTTCAAACACAGTTGGATCAATTTCGTTCAATTTGAAATTATATCACTTCATTCTCCTCGCGATATTACTTCTTTCCCGCACTTTTCGTTTTATACCTCTTTTATTATGTTATTTCATTTTTCCCCCTTTATTACTTCTTTCCCGTTCTTTTTCCCCTCCTACCTTCTATTACGCTTTCTCTTTTGATATCAAAGTAACATTTGTCACTGCGCTTTAATATATCTCTTTAGACGGTACATTTAGCTTCTTATGAACAAGGTGATTTTGATAAGTACGTTAACAATTAGTAAAATTAACAAGTTGTCGTGTTGGTGTAATGAACAAAAAAAAAAAAAAAAAAAAAAAAAAAAAAANAAAAAAAAAAAAAAAAAAAGAAAAAAAAAGAAACGAAAAAGAAAAGAAAAGAATAGAGTTTTAGAAATTAAATTTATAATTTTATGAATTTTAGCGAAGACTTTAGATTGCGCTAATGAATTGCATCAATAAATTGGTTTTTCTGGTAGGAAGATTGATTATTACATTTCACGTTTGAAAGTACGTTTCGGCAATTGGCTCTGCAAATAGCAGACGCAGTCCTAATAATTTACGTCAACGAATTGGTTTTCTGACAGCTGAGAGAATTAATATTCCACGTTTGCACTTAAAATTTGAAATTACAGGTTCGAATACAAGAAACCAATACCGGAATATTATCGGCAAATTAATTTATTGAACTCACTTCGAGAGACAGAAAAGCAAAAAAAAGGGCAAATAATATCGCGATTGTTTACCATTAATATCATTAATCACAAAAACAAAGTTCGCGTTACTGATTCATGGATCCGTACACATCCGCGTACGCGCACCACGTGGAAAATCAATCGACGCCAGTCTGGCGAGCGTTTCCGTTTTTAGCTGCGTCGCTAAAACACAATCTGTCGCGCATTTACATTTATTTCGCGCGTGTGCTAAAACGTACTCAAATACGCCGCAGACGCGCGACGCTCGCTTTGTAACGAAAAAAATATCAAACGTATATTTCATTTATACCTACGATCAGAAAGTGTCAGTTATCGTCGCCCATATATTATACCCACGTACGTACATACGTATCTACCGCGCGCCTAGTAGTAACTGGAGGATACTACGGGATGGTAAATGTGCTTAATAAAACGAGAAATCACATTATTCGCCGGTAGTATCTACGGCAGTACCTCGGAGACAGTTTAATACGTTGGTACTTATTGGAAATCGGACTTAGACGGAGCGGGGCTGAATTTTCATTTTAATCTAAAATTCTATCGAACCGTGGTGCCGTAAAGACACCTGAGGGAAAGCCGATCTCTCGATTAAAAATATCAAATTCTTAATTGGCCGTTGTACCGTCGCAGCTTACTGCTCCCACGAGGAGCTTGCGCAAGAAATAACAGCCCTTTGTTTCCTCCTGCTCGGTACCTCTCTGTTCACCTGGTTTTCGTTCGTTCGCAGGCGGTGTTCGTGTATCAAATATGTACGTACGAGATGCCTCGTTATGGCGAGTACATATTCCCCGGCTGGGCGAATGCGATCGGAATACTGATCGGCCTGTCGACCCTCGCCCCGATGCCGTTCTTTTTCATCCGCCGCCTCTGGAAAGGCCCGGTAAGTTTGTCACGTGAAACACGAACGATTACGAGCGTACAACGATCTCGGGGCAAATCTCGCCGGATTTCTATCTCGTTTAACGACTCGGCTAATAAGCGCTAACACGCCGACCGATTATACCGCGTACCAACTGCATGCCATCGAATCGCCGAGTTTATGCCGGAAGCGTACTGGTTATAAGCTAAGCTCGAGATATCAGTCGGCATAATGTTCAACAAACTAAAGATTATTATGCAAACTGCACCGTTGTTTTTACGACAGGCCACTACTGCGCCGCGAGCGCCGCCACCTCCTGCTGTTTAGAGTTTCACGGTGATTCCAACTATAATAACCTACATCAAAGCTTGCTCCAGACTGGCCAAACGGTCTCAATCGCGTTCAAGGGTTTTTCAGAACCCGTTCGTGCTTCGAGACAGAGGCTGAGAGCGCTCGCAACTTTGCCGTCAGCTCGTTTTAAACGGGGGTGGCGTTGCTCTATATTTTCGCGTTTATTGCACGTGCAAACTTTCAAGGGCGTTTCGCACTTTGGTAGAATGCATCTACGTTTTGGATTTTTGTAATCTCGTAATTGCAAGAACGATGTTTGACAACCTTCGAAAAGTACGAATCTCGTGTTTTTAATCACGCCTAATGGATGTTTTTCTCGGACTCGTGCAAAATGGGATACCTAATTGTAGCAGATTTAATATGCAGGCAAGCTTCGATTTTAAGATAATGAACGTAATTGCTATTTCCTAGTTTAAAATTTGTGTTGTATAGTGCGGAAAGTTTGCTCGTACTATACAACAACCACAAACAAAAGTTCTTTGTTTACAGTTTCGTGGGTCTCTTTAACAGCCTCTATTCGTTTTAGTCGATTGGTTAACTTTGGACTGATATTTCAATAGAGTTACACGACAAAGGGAAATTGCTTATCAAAGAAGAAATCGCCAATAATTCGATTCGACGATGTCTCTTTAAAGCTGCGATGCTTAATCTATTCGCAAAGGTGTGCTTACGATACACCAGTTTCAATGCTAACGAAAATTGAGTTACCAATGTTATTAAACGAAAATCGAACGATCACGCAAAAGGCTCTTGGAGAGAGTTTCATCGTTTCGATCCTCGTAACGTTTTGTCCTCCTCGACAGGGGAGAGAGCGAATATTACGATTACTTAAAATGTAAAACGATTCACAGTGAAATCCTTTTCGAGAATTTTTTCTAGACCTCTACGATACGTCTGATATGTTTGAAAACAGCTGTTGTAACATTAAAATTTAAACATTAATTGATAATTGCTCTTTCAATTTTTCTTTCTACGCGAATTACAACGTTAGCCTTGGCAAACTGAATGTGGAATAACATAGAGAGAGAGAGAGAGAGAGAGAGAGAGAATAAATAAAGTAGCATTTACAAAATGTTCAAATATTTCGCGCGACAAAGATGAAATAATAAATGAAAGTTTGTTCGAAGATTAAACCTTTTTTGTTTAGTATCTCTTAGCGGAGATGTTTTATGACGGTGAGTTTATATAGAGTTATGGTATTACAAGATCGTACAAGTTTCTTCGTAAATTTGAAGATTAAAGCAGTGCAGGGCTTATCGGTTTCCAGTATTTTTTCTTCCAATTTACCGCGGTATCTAGTTTGCTTAAAGGCTAAGATAGTATACTGATTCAATGTTTTACAAGGTAAAAGGAAAACCTCGAATGGATGTGTACTTTGAACTGGAACTAACACAAACTTTCCAGCACAAACTCCTATACATTTTTGAAGTAATCCAACAGTTTTTAATGTTTATAAGATTGTGGAAAACTTTATCAAAGAATGTTATCCTTGAATTAAACAAATGAAAATCGAAGTAAATTAAAGTCGTGACGATTAGACAGCTCATAGTTTGCAGTATTTAATTATTACTGTGCAGTAAATATGACACAGAAAAAGAAAAACTATTTTATTTAAAAATTAAGTTTAAAGATTTCATAGGAAGAAGAATAATACATTAATTGTGAAATAACATTTCTTTTCATTCGCTTCAACATTAATTATTCTCTTCAAGTTGTTACATTACGGACGCAACATGTAACTATAATTTATGTCATAAATTCTACATAAATACGATAACGTTGCAGTTTCTTAGGACAAATTGTAGCACGTTCCAAATTTAACCATTTACGTTTATCTGGGCTTGAGATACTGACATCCACTCGTTAAAACGATTTTAATTATCAAACGTCTGTCTGCGACTAGGTAATTTTTCAGAAAGAGAGAACGTTTCTTCAAATAATTTGTTTAAACTGACCTACTTCGCGTTAGTTTCACGTCAGTCGACAGATTTGTCGATTCAAATGAAAGAAATATCAATGAACTTTTATCAGTTAATGATAAAAATACAATATAGTGGAACTCCATTCATAGGAATCCCATTTACTCAAAATAAATTTTAATCAATATCAGATTAAATGAATTTTTGATGAATTCTATTTATCTGACGATGACTGTGAAATTCTTTGTACGAGTGGAAAGTTATTAGTTGACTCCTGTTGCGAGGATTTGAACTATGTAAATATTAAATAACTAATTATAAAGTTATTAAAATTAGTTGCGATAGTAGTATTATATTACAATAATATAAGCCTCTCTATTGACGAGTGACGCAAATTCAGAAGTAGGAAAAATCCGTTTATTATAGAAATGAAAATATTTCATTGTTTCATTTAATTTAACCTTCGTATGTTTTGCTTTACGTTTATAAAAATTAAGAGTCAATTTTTACATAAATAAAATAATGGGATTTGGTTATTCCTTGCCTTGCTATTAGTTCACTGTTGAAAGAAATATACGTTTTCTTAAAATTATATTATTTATTTAAAATTAAGTTATTATTATAATTTTATTTTCACTTTATTTCCTTGCAATAATGTTACATTCTGCTCTTAATTTGTTACACCAAAGTCCAATTTTCTCAAAATTAAGAAAATTAAATGTTCACTTATCAACTAAGAAGCTCATACAAATGATTAAGATAATATAAATTATTTAGAATTAATTGTAAAATTATACAAAATTAATATTATGAAACTACATAAAGATTAAATGATTAAAATATTCATCTCTGGGCAAGTATAGACTATATACACCGTATGTCAATGAATTAACTTATAATAAATGTGGTGACATGCCTGTATGTATACCACGGTCATCTCGCATTGGTATTCTAATTTCTGGCCGTGAACGTTATTAATATTGAACGTGATCAATGCTTCCAATTGCTAAAACGCGTCTGGTCGAACATGTGACAATGATATTGGAGCGTTCTCTTTATTCATGAAGATCGTGATAAAATCTGACGTGCAGATTAAATTTTTGGTCGTTCCAATTTTTTTCTTTTTTTAACGCGATTCAGACAAACCGGAATATTGAAGGAACGTTAGAAGAAAATCAATATAGGATTCTAGCCAATATAGGAAGTTAATATGTATTAGCAATAACTGAAAGTTGTCCGCAATATGAGTTTTACATCACTTTTTCGCAGTTATTTTCGTTAAATATCATTTCAACATTGTCATTTACAATAACGATATCAGTAAACCTTAATTATTAAAATGTCGTGTTACAGCGCGACAAATCGAACTGAACGAAATATTAATTCGAGATAACATAAATTTACAAATCTTAACTCTATATCTCCTCTGTTTACTTTGAAACGGAGTAAAATCGATTCTATTAAGCCATTTTCATAACGAATCATGCAACCAGACTTCTTGTTACCTTTTCCAGGTGCATATAAATTCGGCTGATTATGTTCACCGAGTTATTTCGCTGCTGTTTGCAATTACGCGACTGTTAGGAGACCCACGGTGTGTTTAGAAACGACGCGATTGGCGTGGACACTGTAAATTTTAACGACAAAATGTACGATAATTGTAGAGTGTTTCGCGATATCGCGGCCATAATTCACCGGTGAAACGAATTGCAAATTTTTTTCAAGAGTCACGTACCCGTTGAAGAAGGCGGCTAAACCCTGGCTAGCAGCATATACAGTATATACACACCGATCTGAAAGTTGCCTCCCTTCGCTGTAAAATCTTGCCAACTTTGAAATGTCTTAATACAAGTTTTTCCACGGTACGTAGGTAATCGTACTTTGAAACGAAAAGTTTCGTTCCGTGCTCCATCGTACGGATCGAACCTATTTCAGCTCTCTCGTACTTCTGCCCCTCTTCTTGACCGCTTCCGCTTTGTTTTACTCGATAAATTTACTATTACTCTTATCTCCTTCTCTCCTGTTTTCTGACTCTCAGCGCAGTTTCGAAACTACTTGCGAGCTTCGGGGCAAGATATGAGCACGCGAGCGGAGTAGAAAAATCTCTGCGAGGGCAAGCGGTCGGACTCTTCTTTTGCGATACAATGATCCCTCCGATACGCATATACTTACGCGTGTACAGCAGTTTGAACTCAATCAACGTAGAGAAACAACGCAACTTTTACTTACATTTTACGATACATACATTTTTTTATCCCCTGCGATCATTAACCTTTAATATCATGATCTTCCTTATTTTCCTTAAAATTCTCCACGAAAATTTCTGTCGACGAACTTTTGTTCATGCTTCGTCGAAAATGTAATTTTTGCAAATTCCATACACCACACAGTGATGTCTGTATTATTTGTGTTTGATAAATCTTCAAAATTCACTACAAGCGAAAAAAAAAATAGCCAAACAGATCTAAGCACTACCTCTCCATCCATTATATTACAATTATTTCAACAAATAAGAAACCAGTTTGTTGTTATTCCATATTTTTTACAAAACTTATGAGCGTTCGTACAACACTTTTTTTTTCTTTCCTTTATTATTCGTGAAATTAAACAAGGAAGGAACATTGTCCTTTTATCGAGGGTACTTTTCGATCTTTCAATAATGGATTAAAATTGCCGATTAGAAAACCGATGACGTGACTGCGACGTTATATGATTTTCAACTTTAATAACCGATGACGTGACTATGGGACCGTGATTTTCAGCGCATAATGTTGTGCGACGCTAGTATATTATGCGACTTTCAGCGGTTGCAAAAAACTTGTGCCGATCTCTAATGAAAATTATTACCAAAAGAAGCCAGTCATTATAATGTTAATACCGTAAGTGGAAAGGAGATACTTTTCTTCTAAAATATTAAAAATTTTGCAACTTTGTTTCCGAGAAAAGCGTCTGCAGATTTATCTAATAACTAACCGTACGTAGGTCAGAAATCTCAGAACATTTTTTACTTTTAATATTCATTACCTATTGTGAATAAAATACCTATTCTTTAATAAAATTATGTACTTCAGATCAAAGTTTTACAGATTATTTGTCACGCGACTTCGAAATTTTGCGAAGAACGAGATTCTAAAGTTGTTGATCATTTCCTTTTGCTTTGCACCTTGCATTTCTGCTATCTGGAAATTTATTAAATAACCCTGAGTTATTAAAGAAAAAAAAAAAAAAAAAGGGGCATTCGAACGACGCGAGGAATCGCATTAAACGCTCAGGGAAAACAGACCAGTATCCAGGATGACATCTGCGGAATCTTTCATTTGGCTAACGGTCGTTGAAAGCGTGCAGTTGAAACGACGAGCCCCGAGAATGCTAACTTGAATTGTTTGCATAAAACCCCGACACCGGTGACTGTTCAAAGAATTTGACTTCCGTTTTAATTGTCCGCAGAGGGACTGCAGTTTGTTTCGACCAAAGAAGACATGGGGACCGGCGATGGTAAAGGGTACGGGTAACGACAGCCCGTCCACGGCGTCCATCAAGATCTAACAACTGTAGGGAAACGAACCGCAGGAGGGTTACATTTAACGAGGTTAACAAAATCGTCCTCTTTTTACACGATTCTAGTCACGTTAACGCGAATGTTAATCTTCCTATCCAAGCGTTCGAAAACGCTCTCTTCGCTACCTACTGTATCCTCAATTTCCTCTTTCCCTAGTTTCTCCCCACAGTTCGCGAATATTTTACTGTAGAATCACCGGCGACAGAAGTTAGACAAAGCTCACGTCAAAGAAATTAAAGTTTAAGGAGAAATCTTTCTACATTTATCATACAGAATACTGAAAATACTAAAGATACTAAAACTTTTATCTTTATATTTCTAAATCTAGAGTTTTTAGATTCTGTAATTTATGAGTCTAAATTTTCGACATTTTAAATTTCAACAATTCTAAATCCAAAGTTTCTAAATTTTAAATTCCTAGAATTTCTGTAAAAAGATCACGAGTTGATTTTAACTTGAGTTTTACCACGCTGATGGTTTTAATTTTAATTATAGAAAGTTGAAGAATAACGAGAGAATTATTGCCTATTTCTAGTTCTAATGAAATTTCCATCAAACTCTATTTCTATCAAATAAGATTAATTCTTGTGACAGAACCAGCGACAAACAAAGCATAAATCCTATTTCAGGGAAATTAAAGGGAATAAGAAATGTAGTATAGCATCTAATTTAGTAAAGATCACAATCTTTTATTAATACATTCAACGAAAAAATTTTCGTCGGTGTGGATTTGTTTAACAGTTAGTAATGTAGAGTAGAGTAATTTTAAAAATTGTTTCATGAATTATAGTAAATTTCTGCAAAACAAAGAAATCATAAAATTATTGAATCAGTACTGTGTTCAATTATAATATTTTTATTATTTTAAGAGTTGGTAGGTTTCTGCATAACTCGATCCACTTGATCACTTCATGTTTTATTTCCACAACAGTATTGAAAGTTTATACTGTGTTTAATTTCTTGTCATTTTGAGTGTTGGCAGGTTTCCGTATAATTCGACCCAATTAGTTGTTTGATCACTTCATGTTCTGCTTCTACAATACTATTATAGAGTTTATTGTGTTGAATTTTTTTGCCACTTTGAGAGTTTCTGCACCTGGTCCAGGCTGTTCATTTTAATCACTCTGTGTTCTAGTTTTGCAATAGTATTAAGCGCGTATAATAACATAAATCAGACTGAAAGTTTTAAGGAATCCGAGAATGAAAACGAAGTACATGCACGAAGTACATTAATAGTTCGGCTAATTTCATATTTTTCCAATATACGCGGCGAAACCTGCGAACTCTCTTTTCGTTTTAACTTTTAAATTAACGATCGCGGACAACGATGGTAATACCATCAACTACAACCAGCCTCGTGTATTGCTGTATATCGCTGGCTGGCCGAGGTAATGTTTCAACTTCTACGGCCCTGCGTGAACATGCTAACGCGTACCAACGATATTAATGAATCTGCAATTTTTACCTGAAAGGAATTCATTTGTTCGTTTTGATGTTTCGTTCATTGCATTTTAAACAGGAGACGAGGAATGTATCGGCAATTTCTATTTGAATGAGAGTGCACGAATGCAAAATTCGATATGCGTTTCGATGCCCATTCATTTCCTTTTTTTTTTCTTTTTCGCGAATGATTAATTATCTCATAATTGGAACGATCTCATGCTAATTAGACTCGGTTTAATGATCTCTAATATTAGAGAGATTTCATAACTTGAATTTATAACGAATGTCAATTCGTTTTTTAAAATAGCCGAACGACTAAAAAATGATTAATACTGAAAGTGAAAATATCTCAGAACTCGTCAGGCATAAATAGCAATTTTATATGTGTGTTTCTTTATAGGACTGAAAGAATTATAAATGTACAATTTTTCAATATTACGATTAAATAGAAATCGGCATTTATATCATTTTGTACGATTTGATCAATGAAATAAAAATTTAATTCACATTTGTTAAATTTAAATGTCGTTTCGTGTACGATGGGTGAATTATTGGCAGAATGATGAAACTTTCAAAATACTAACGATTCTCCTCTGATCTCATTTATCAGTGACCTGTATTTCCTAAACTGGGAGATGTTTTAATGCGGAAGAAATTGGTTAAATTAAGGCATTTAAAGTAGAGAGGATTATTTCAACCGAGAGATACGGAAGAAAGGTATTTGCTCGTAGGAAACACTGCGAAAATAACAGATGGCACGAAAATTTAGAGAATTCGTAAAATTTCACAGAAAGTATCCAGAGACAGGATTTAGCCAGACATAATTAATGATTGCCACTTATTTATGAAAGCTACTATTTTATGGAGACAGTTTTTAATGGAAGAAAAATACGATTAATAATTATTTTTTTTGTACTTCTATTACTAAATTATCTCGAAGGTGTTATTAGTAACAATGTCTCATAGCGAAACGTGCAGGAAATCAACTATTTGCTGTCAGTAGATTTGGTTTATGAGACTCTCTGCTACATTTATTATACGCTATTTACCGAGGTAAATAGATTTGATCCATGGGAGTATAACAGTCAAATAAAAATACCGTTGCAACTACAATACACGTAGATATTGCAAGCATATTGAATCAGTATCTCCGTCAATCACTATGTTGTTGTGTGACACCTATCAGACAATCAAATATCAACGTTAATACCAGCCAATTCTCTAATGCAAAGTATGTACACAATCGTGAATTCAATTCATACATGGAATCAGTAGATTGACTATACCGTACAAATCATTTTATGATTTCACAATTACAATGAAGTAAATACCGTTTCTGTACAGATAAAATTTATTATCGATCCAAGGTTTACGAAATGTTTGGCTTTCAATTTGTATCTTCTGGACTGGTTTCGGTAATGTTTGAAAAAAGAAAACACATGGACGATCGTTTCATTTATTGGAAACCTGACTTCCTTTGTATGAAAAATTTCTATTACTGTCAGTGAAGTATTAAGTCACGAAGTATTAAGTTTATGAAAACTGAACAATAGCTTGAAAAGTATGATATTCGTATTTTCTTTTGTCTTTGCGTGAAAATAGGAATCCATTTTTCCATTGTTCAGTGTGAAATTTAACCATCATTACGTAGTCATACGGTGCATTCAGGATTTCATATCACGAAGAGTTTCTACAGGTTAATTCTTCATTTTCGGGGAATATAAAAATTACGAAGAAGGATAGAATTTATAGTGAAACTTTTTCTTGGCTTCACAATTCTCTTGGTTTTGGAAACAGAAATAATGACAGATTTGTAGAAAGAAAAGAAATCTGCCCAAAGACACTACGAATTTAAATTATTGTTAGTATAAAGAACAGACATAGTATAACACACAATAATACGATATCCCAATATTGAAAGTACAACTTCGTGAAACAAATATATTCAAAAATAAAAAACAGAATTTTTCTGTTTAAGGTCTCATTAAAAAAAAAAAAGAAAACAGAGTCTGAATATGTTTAGTCAAAAATTGTTTTAATAAACATGTACTCGATTAAAGATTTAAATTGAGTTTTCTCAAAAACATCTTGTAAAAAAATTCCATTTTGCATCATTTTTGACTTATTTTCACTATTGGAATAATTTCTTCTTCATTATTTATTTCTGGCCAGTCTAGAGTTAGCCAAATTCAAATACAGTTAATAAATTTTCAATTTGAAAATCAAGAGAAATAAAAACTATTTATTCGTAAATGGGAAATATTTATTCTTTACTTTCGATTTATTTTTTTCATGTAGTGTCATCGTTTCGTTGGTTGTACCATCAATGCTGAGATGACCTTATATAGTATACAGTCTGGCATAGTTAGTATAAACTGTACCAGAAACATATTTTAATAAGCATGGATGGTTGACGCGCTCGCATTAAGGTTACTATGTCGCCTGACTATAAATAATGCTACACCACTTACGCGATCAGTGGATACGCGGTTTTTAAATTCGTTCCATGTAACGCCGTAAATGTTCCAATTTAAGAAAAATAAACTAGAAACATGAAAAACCATAAAATTCGTGGACCGTGAAGGAAATGAGAAACATATTTCCTCATATTTATGTCATTCACTTATAGTTACGTACGTAGACATATCTGTAGTAGTTTCTGACATATTTGTTCACGATATTTCACAATAATCTTTGAAACAACGTGCAGACATTTCGCAAAAAAAAATTTCTAGAAAATTCTAAATTTAACGTGACAATGGAAATATTTTTTTTTAATGGAAACGTAGTGTATATTTACATACACTGAGACGTGTAAAATTGAAGTGTCGCTTAATTTTTGATAAATGTCTATATACAAAACTGTTGTAACTGCGTGAAAAAAAATTACATAACACTTTATACAGTCTCGTTTTAAAGCGCGGCGTTTCTAATTTTGCAGCCAGCATTTTTTTCATTTACAATGTTTGTACATCATGCAGTGAATAGGGAAAGAGTAGACATACTCTTTTTCCCGAAAATTTTCGATGTTTCTACGGACATTGCACATGTACTAAACACGTATATACTTATACATTAAAAGCAAGGTGAATCTTCTTGTGGTTTATATTATTATGGATACCTTGGATTATCCTAATGTGCCGACGACACACTTCTCATTTAAAGTTTTGCGAGACTTTCTTATAAAAGAGAGACTTTATATCCACGTTCAATTCTACAGCGAAAAAATTCTCCAACGTCCGTAGAGATGTTTTTCGAATATGTAAAATTTTCAAAAAGGAGAAGTATGCACAGCAGGTAAAAAAAAAAAAAAAGAATGAACTGTGGATTATGAAAATCTATAGAAGCTCCATACTTGAAAATCAGCCCGGGCAGACTATTGTACGATTCTTTTCCACCGAATGACAGTAGCTTCAACATAGACATTCTTTTCATCGAAAATTAATCATCAGAAAATATTTTGATATCGGTCGATTGACCAAGAGATGCTCCATGCACTTTACAAGATAGAAATTGTCAATTGCTTAGATACCTGCTGTTCAAATTAAAATTACTGGATAGCCAGCTGTCTCGAAATTAGAATCATCCAAGTTGCTCCGCGACATGTATACGTGTTATTCGAGAGATTATAAAAGAGAGCTTGTTCAGTCATCCCTGATACCCGAGAACGAACGGAATACCAGGTGGATTACAATTGCATGATTCGGCTCGTGTAATCGGAGCGACGAAGCTACGTGGGTCTTGTAATAAAGCACGGTCTGTTACATCGGTTGTATCCGAGCAGCGTGTGCACGAACCCGAGGACGGCGTGCAATAGCAGCTGCGAGACGAGGCGTTATGATCACCGGTCACGCCGGTGGAAAAGTGGCGAATGTCGCGCGCATTCGTCCCGTGTTTCCCCCTAATTAATGCGATGGAACATCTCCGGTACAAGGAATTCCGTGTCCTCCGCCGCGTGGCAATATCGTGCGGCCGTCTCGACCGCTTGTAACTCCATCTTATGGGGAGGGAATGTCGCCGATGACGAGAGTGCGGCTTCCAACGCTGCGTTAATGAGAATTTCGCTCGATCCGATCGCCGCGTGCCGCACGCCGGTTTGCCTCGTGTGCCACTCTTTGCCCACGAATATCAACCCGTAAAATTGCCTCTCGATCCCGGAATTATCCATCCCATGAATTTTTATAAGCGCGACGCGTTTCGCTAGCCAGGCCGCGCGCGTTTTAAAACATCTATAGACGC